CACTGTTTGCAGCCGCCTTTATTCTAAATCTCTCAAAATCAATGGAAAACTTCCTTTGACTTTGGATGGCTCTGGTCAGGTTTGCATTAGGCACAAGGGCCCCGAAGCATTTATCTATATATAACAGTTAACAGTTTGGTTATGCAAATATGAAGTGTTTCCTGAGTTTCCTGAATGTTTGCCTTTTGTAAAGCTCACCTGCTCTTCTAGGGATTTAAATGTTTGATTTAATAATTCCAATATGCTGCATGGAACAGAGAATGGATGAGAAAGAATGAGGGCTAAGAAAAAGGAGAAATTAGTGGAGATGACAGAGGGAAGTCAAGGTAGAAATCAGGAAGCAAAATCAAGTAGAAGAAAATAGAAAGACAACAGGAACAAAAGAGTACATCCGGGAAGTGGCTCAGTATAAGCTTGATTCACCTCTTGTATAACAAAAGAAATAAAAGTGGGAATACAGAATGCTGAGCGCAAAGAGGGCAGCTCACGCTCAGCGTCCCGCATTTCCACTTTGAGAAATTTCTTTTGCTCGGATGCATCAGTTCCAGGCCCTTCTAGCACGGGGTGTGCTGGGAAGGCCAGTCAGGGGAAGGAGGGGCAGAGACAGACAGAAATCACCTAGAGAGAAGCAGAGTGTGCCCTTGTCCCCTCGGTTTCCCCTGCATTCCCCCACCCCCGGCCGCGCAGCTGCTGCTCGCTCAGGTGTGTCTCTGCGGGCTGGCACAGCTGGTGGCCCTGCTGGGGACACTTTCCAGCTCCATCCCAACAGCAGCCCAGGGGGGACAGTGGTGTTGGAGCCGTCCGTGGGGACTGGGGTGTGATTTGCTGCCTGTGCACTGCTGGCACACGAGGGTCAGCCAGGGGCTACGTGCGCTGGGAACAAGAAAGATGCTGGGGCCGCCTGGTCTGACAGAATTCCTTGGAGCCAGCTCGAGCTGTGGGGCTTTCTGCCCGTCCTGGATTAGTGAGTTGTTTAGGGATCCGGGGCAAACCAGTAGAACAGGCTGATGAATCCACACGGTAGGTGCCAATCTGGGTTGCTGCTTTTTTCGGGAGTAAACAACTAGGAGCCATTGTTCATCTTCCTAACTCTCTGCAGGACACAGGCTGTAAATTACATCCAGGAACAAAAGCTTGATGGGAGTAGAACCGGGCGCTCAACTTCCCAAGGGAGTGCTTTGCCCTCCAGCCAAAAGAGCAGCTTTTCTTGCTTAAACCAGCACAGGCTCTTCTTCTGCCTTCCCATCAGAGCACTCAGAGCCCAAGAACAGTGTGCAGTTCAAGATTTGCCACACTGGAGCATTTACAGCCGTTGCCATTGCAAAACCTGTTTTCAGGATTGATAATGAAAATTAAATCTACTCTGAAATTGAATCCAGTCTGAAATGCAGGAAACTAGATTGCAGTCTAGGGACATGGAGGAAATCTTATTAAAAATAGCATATTTTATTGCTATTACAGATAAGTGGGTATGAAATCCTCCTTACTCCCCCAAATCTGATTTTCAGCCAGTCTCACAGAAAGGCAAAACACACACAGCCATGGCCAGAAGTACCTAATGACATTTGTGCTTCTTAAATTCACTAAGACCAGTTGCTGTTCAACTCCCCATAACAAGCTTGAAATATTCACCAAGTTATGCTCAGAAAATTATTTTTTTACTTTTGGAAAAATAGTATTTCTGCTGATAATAGAAAAAAAATAGCTGTGTTTTTTTAGAAATTTTGGGGTTTCAGAAGACAAACGCCAGCTATTTTCACAGAAACAGAATTCCATTCTACTCTTTCAATTTCTCCCATTCAATAATGAAATCAATCTCCATTAATACCTTTTTTTTCCCCCTGTCATAAGTACAGGTTCATTCAGGTGCATCCATTTTCTTGTCTGTCCACAAAATAAAATCTAAATATTCATTCAAGGGAGAGGCTGTGCCACTGAGTTTAATGGAATTTTAGTCTTTCAATTAAGCTAGGCCAGAATTTCGTCCTCTGTGTGAATTCCTGCAAAAAACCCAACTTTTTATATCACTGTAACCCATGCATGTTCCTTTTCTAGGACTCCAACATATGTACTCCCTATTAGAATTTTTATCAAAATTAATTAGTGCTGCCTACAGTTCACATATGTGATAAAATCACAAATGAGTTATTTTGGTGTTCCTGTACTATATTTTGCCATCATGGATTCAGTATTCACTGTATCAAAAGCGTCACAGAAGAACACTCTTTTAAATTCTGGGGTTTTATCCTTTTTCAGTCTTATTGTTTCATTCTCTTTTGAAAACTTAATTAATTAATAATTTTACAGTTTTTTTTTTGGTGCCAGTAGTTTAGCTTCTTGTTGCCAAGGAAGTAAGCAAATTCCAGACTTCACATATTTAACTGTAATGACAGGCTCAAAGGGGATGCTCTGCTGCATTTCTTCAGCTGAAGATTTGCTTCAGGATTTTTCTGTTCCTATGTAATAAGGTTTTCCCAAACAAAAGCAGAAGTTATGTATTTCTCATAAAGAAATCCCCCAAACAAAACCAAAACAAACCCCCAAACCCAACAGTTTTCCAGTCGTACATCTGCTTTGACTACATTTTCTGAGCAGCATTATGCCCTGCAGCCAGGCTAAATTTGGACTGCTGTCTACCTGAGACTGACACAAGCTGACCATGTTTGTGGGGGAAAGCAGGAAGTATTTTTGTGTCATGTGTTCTAGGCTGCCATGAAGGCAGGCTGATGGCACGAGGAATGGCCATACTCACATGTCGCATACAAACAGCTCATTAAATGTTTTTGTGATTTATCACATGAAATGACGTAATATTATCAATTCTTTTTCTTGTGTAGATCTGTCTTTTCCTTTTGCATAGGTATTAGCACCTCCATGCACGTGGTCTAGATGTGTCTAATCTTAGCCCAGTTTTTCAGGGCAGCAACCAAGAGAGAGTCTTTCCAAAGCAGAATACCACCCACCCTTGCTGAACACATGCAGAACTATTGAAAAGACTGAGATGAATAACAAAGAATATTTTGGTATCTAGAAAACAACCTCTTCATATTCAGGTGTCAGAAGGGCTAGAATTAGAAACTTCAGACCATGAAGAGACTAGGAATTTCCACTCCAGGTTATCTAAGACTCTGCCTCTATCCCTAAAATGGATGTTATTCTCCCTTTACCTGTGCCAAAGAAAACTTTTTATTTTTCTTAATTCTGTACCATTATGAATGCAGGACATTAATGGAGAGGCAATTTATGTTCATGAAAAATAGGACTCAAAATTTCCTGAATTTTAATTAAATGTTTAATTTAATTCTATTTCATCCATAGAACGTGAATTTCAAAAGTAACTTAGCAATTGAAGAAAAATATATATTTAGCAAATTGAAAACATTCATTAACTGTGTGCCAGAATTTTGAAAGCTTTATTCATGGGTTTTGATGCCAAAACATTTATAGTTATAAACGTACAGGATTCTACAGAACTATTTCTCTTTCCACTTTAGAGAATAAGGTATAGAGGAGATTGCCTTTTAATTGCTTTTAAAGCCATTTCTTAAAAAAAAAAAGGCAAATTTACTAAAGAAAATGTGCTTTATCCATAATTTCAAAGTTGCTAGCTTCATAATAAAAAGATCCCCTGTGTTTAAATGAAAGATTTTTATTTTAACTTTGTCCCATCAGATATTCTAGACCTGTAGGAAAAGCCTGTTGGAACCTGTTGCTAAAAATTTGGCTGGCTGAGGAAAGGATAGCCAGCCATTTCTAAGTCAAAAGGCAGAAAAAGGGCAAAGTCCTGAAAACCTCTTTATGTGACCTTCTTGTGCCTGTGGCTGGAGAGACTTGTCTGTACTTTTCCATTGTTTGTGTTAACAGAGATTAAATTAATGAGAAACTTCTTTCAAGTGGGAAGATCGACAAAATGGTAATCTGATATAGGACTGTTCATTCCAGATTTGGCAAGGGAAACTGAAATCAGGGCATTTCTGGTAGTTGTCAAAGGTGAGAAGTGCAGGCTTTGGTGATCCTTCACCAGCCCCTCATCCCATGGCACGGGAAGCACTGTTCCAATTCTCCAGCACTAAAGAGAAGCCAGTGCATGGAGACACCATGGGGAAATCTCCAAGGCACACAAGAGACAAGCATTTTTCTTATCTACAGAGGCCTTGGGGTTTTCACCAGAGGTTTCATGAAGAGCCAAACAAAACCACACACTGCAATGAACATATGTCCCTCAGGAACTGAGACCTTGTCTGAACCTCGAAGATCTGGTACCTTTTCATCCTGTTTCTCTGCTTTCTGAATCAGGAATGGGAGGAAAAATTCCTTCTGTACCTTATGCCATCAATAGAATAAAGTATCAGCCTTAGTCCTCAGAGTCACTCACTTCTGGCACTGGCATTGTTCACTACTTTTGTTCATTCATTATTCTTCTTGGAGCAGCCTGTGCAGGGACATCAAGGGTAGAATGGGATGTGGGAAACTGAACAGCCTCCACTTACCTTCTGCATCATGTTATCCTCCAGCAGTGAACAAAAACACGGCAGAAAGCTTCACTGATGTTTAATTGAACTGCACAAAGAGAAAATGATGAGATAGGAATAAACAAGCAAAATATTTTTGGGAGATATCTACGCTGTTATAGATGCTTTACTAGGGTTTAGAAACTCTAGTGCTTTTGTGTTCACTTGGTTTGTAATAAGGAAGAGATTTTAAAATGCAGGATGAAAAGCTTATAACAAACAGTGCATTTCTGAGAGAGCTCAGGAGAGATTACATGCATTTTCCTACAAGCACACTAAGTATAACTTTTGACTAGACTAGTGTAAGAAGAGAAGCTTTAGTGGCTCTTTAAAACTCAAGTGTGCCTGCTTAGTCAGTCCTAGCTCTCCAGAGCTTCCACTCCCCTTTTTGTGCCGCTGGGTAACTTTTGTTGCAATATGGGTGTGACTTTTGATGGAGCTTCCCCCTCCCAGTTATGTCATTACTTCAGTTCCTTTGAATCAGAATAAAAAGTGCAGCAAACTTCAGACTCATTGACTGCAGGCTTAACAAGCGTCGGGGCTTTTCTTCTTTCTGCAGCTCGCAAGGATCTTTGGATTTTGCAAACAGTTCCAAGAAAACAATGGCCAACTTCTCCTTATGGACAGTTTTTGGATTATGTTTGCTGAAGCTCTGTCTAGCAGAAACAGGTAAGATTTTTATGAATGAAAACGCTTATGATTGTTAGGTTAATGCTTCAGACAGTGAATGTGCTTCTGCTAGATAGCTAACAGCTTTCTTGCATCTATAAACTTTTATTATTTCAAGTGTTATCGGAGATGTTTTAGAAGTGTAATCTCAGTTGTGCTGGTCTGTACAATCACGGAAAGCTGTGTATTGCTTGTAAAGGGCAATTCCAAATTTGTAAAGACTGAATTGCAGAACATTAAAGAATGAAGTTTAAACTAGGAACAGAACTGCACTGGGGAATTCGGAATGGCTCTGGTAAAGCTCAGTTTGACAATGTGACTGCTGTACAAACGCAGTTTGCTCTCCCAGCTCCCCTTCGGACTGCAGCGAAAAGGGGGGTGGCAGGAAGGGGGTGAGCCCCCCCCAGCTTACAGCTGCATTCTGGAGTTCACGTGAGCTGAACCAACAGCTGAAACAAACTGCATTTGGGCACAGCCGTGCTGAACAGGAGAAAAACTGCAGGGATCTCTGCTGAAATTTGGAGAGCTTTTATGCCAAGCATGCTTGCTTCTGACTTTCTAAGGTCTCTCTGGGGCTGACTGATGAGCTTTTGGAACAAAGGGGGTTAGAAGTGACAAAGTTCAGTTGTTTATTGCTTACCTTCCTGCAGCTTGGTTATGTGCTTCAAATATTTGTATTTAAAAATCTAACGTTAATACAGAGAAAAAATAAGAATTTTATGTCCGAAGTGACAGAAAGCTTTTGAAATTTTACATGGTGCACGCTCAACCACGTTTTAGGGGTACGACCATACTTTTAGCAGACTCTCACTGTCACTGCAACTGCCTCGAGGCATTTTGTGGTTAGGGATAACAGTTGTGCTTCTATATTGTTTTTGTACTCATCAGTTCCAGGAGTCTAACAAAATGCATTTTTCATGGCATTGTCACCCAAAGGCTGTGTGTGTATAGTAAATATGAGTCTCATTTGCTTGAGCAGCAGGAGATCCTTCTGTTAATGGTTGCAGCGCTGCCAGGCTGGGAATGGGTGTGTCAGGGGGAACAAGTTCCCAGTGCTTCTGTGGTAGCTGAAGCAGCCTCATGGCTTTTCTGTCTAAAATCCTATGTCCATTGTACCAAAATGGTCTTGCTAAGATCAGGTATATAGACAAAGCCTTAAGAGAAAGGACAGGGCTGCTGTAGGCAAGTAAGGTATGTCTAAGATGTGTTTAAATCCTTGGCTGGGTCCCCGTCTGTGCACTGTATAAATATTATAACTGCTTGACTGATTCTTACTTCTGTGAGCTGCCTGGAGTGTCCTAGAGAGCAGGGTCTGCACTGACTCTGGGAGTGATGTGTTTTTACAGTGAGACAGAAAGCCCCATTATTGAGCCCTCAGCATAGTTACAAAAAGTGTGTCAAACTTCACATATGCCCTCCAGGGAAGTTTCTTTACTGGCTTAGTGAGGTATTAGAATATAGCTACAGTGTATTTGAGTTGGTATACAGTACATTCCAGCGTGACTTTGTAGTCAGTAATGATTTCAAAACAGCAGTTGATGGTGTTGTTTTCTATTTTTAGGCAGTGATTTTGCTGTGTATTATAGACTAATGGCTACTGCTGCTGGGAACTGGAATTTTGATTATTTTAGTACAGAATTTCAGGGAATTAAAGAGGATCTGAATTACTCTTAATGTGATTCAGAAGGAAAAATGAGATACAGAGAAAGCTGAAAAACTTACTCATCCTGATTTCTGTGGTGGTGTGACTGTACTGTCACTGATATGGTTCTTACTCTTGGTGTTGACATGACTTGTCTGAGGAGTCTGGATCCTGGAGCATGTAGGTGCTGATATCTTGGTTAATGATGTTTTCAGAGGAGATTTTCTCCTGTAAGCATTATGTATTTGTAGAAATATTTTTCTCAAAGTTTTCCTTGATTAACACAAAGCAAATGCTAGAATTTTGACCCCCAAACTCGGAAGAAACAGGAAGAGAAGTAGTAGTGGAAAGGATGAAATGGAAAGAGGGAGCATGAGTCTGCCCGTGGGAGGAGGTAGCATGCCTGTTAGCCCTGGAGAGGCTGCCAGGGCCCCATTCCAAGGAAAGGCTCTGAGACAGGGCTCCTGCAGCTGCTGGTCAGTCACAAAGGAAGAGACCTGCCTGCCCCTCAGTTTACATATCTCTCCTGTAAACTTGTAAATAAAGCAGTTTGAAGAAGCTCTTTGTGCTAGTTTATTTTCACTCAGTCCTTACAGTGTGTATCTTGGCAGTTTCCCAAATCTACAAAGTAACTAGACTTTATTAAGAGTTCACTTGAACTTTCCATCATTGTTCAGTGGAAGGGTTGTGGAGCTATCCTGGGCTCGCACACGCAGAGCCAACAAAGCATGGCAGGGGATTGTTTTGCAGTCTTTGGAGAAATGTTGGAAGATTCTTTAGGTACTGGTGTTCACCACAATGAAGAGCCATTACCTTGAAAATAGGAAGTTAGAGACAGGCTTAATGAGGACAGATACCATCGTACAAATGAGGAAGAACTTTCTTAAGTAAATGCTTTTAAAACCACTGGTAGCCCTAGCCAAGGTTAAACAAAATGTTCATCCATATGTGGTGTCTCTTTCTTTCCAGAGGAGTTCCCATTACTTTTATAGGCCTGAATTGAAGATAGTGTGAATATTGCAGTTGTTAATCTATCACCTCAACATGAATGAGGGTTGACTGTCAAAGAATGTGCCAGGAGTTGGAGACATCGCGACATGCTGATAGACAGATAAACACCAGGGAGAATCATGAGCTCATTATTCCTAAAATACTTGTGGAAAAGTTGTGATAATATTTGATAATACTAGTTCTGAATGTAGTTGACTGGTAGTAAAACACATTGTAGAGAAGCAGAGATAAAGCAATGTAGAGTTCCTTTATAAGGAGAGGGTAAATCAGTCACGGAAATTAAAAGTTTTTTGACATTCCAAATGCTGTAAAAAGGCTTCTCCATCTGCTTTCTAGTCTTCTGGCATCACATTTTTGTTCCAGAACTAAGGGGTAAGGGTTTGAAAATACAGTCAATATGGAAGATGATAATTCTCCCCTTCATATATCACTGTTTGGTCTTTTATTTTCAAGAGATGAAAGAGAGCAAGGGAAGGAGTTCTGAAAAACTTGCCTATAAAATTGGGTTTTCCAGGACCAAGGCTAAATGTACATAATTATGTGTGAAATATAACTTCACAGAGAAGATAATTGTGAAACAAACATGACCCATCACAGTAATCTTGCCTACTTTGAAAACAATGCAAAATTGCATTGGAACAATTAATGGCTCAAAACACATAATATTTTAGAATCAGCTGGCATCTGGGAGCATGCTGATTCAATTTGTCAGCATTAAACTGAATTCTTAAAATAGAGAAATGGAAACTTCCAACTTGCTAGAAAACAGAACACATCCACAGTCTAGTGTGTTTTTGCCTTTACCTGTCAGGGTTTCTGTGTGATAAACCTGGTGGTTTGGGCCATTTTCTGTGTGTTACCCACGACTGTGGGCGGGAAGCCAGTTTGGTGTAGCTGCTGGTCATTTTCCAGGAGTCCATCATCTCTTAACAGACAGCCATCTCTCCCTCCCAGAGAGGTAATAATAATTTCAAAGCTATCAGACGCTGTAATTATCAGTGGCCGTGATGGGTGCTGCTGGTGGCAGTGGCAGGGAGGATTGTGTCGGTGCTGTGTGTTTATCATTTCCTCCCCACAGTGCCTCGGCAGCAATATCAGTAGCAGCTGGCTGTGATTTCCCTCCCTGGCCGCGGCTGCCGGAGCTGCCCCCGCCCAAGCACGGCAGAGCAGCTCATCCTATCAATGAGTCTGCAGTGATGTGAAGTGGCAGCGGAGGAAAAGAGGGGTTTTCCTTGGAGAATCTTTCCAGTCAGACAGAAAGTTCAGCTAATTGCAATTTAAAGTTCAAACCTCCGTGACTGTTTCCTGCCTAACGAAACCTGCAGTCATTTTTGGAGTCTGTGCTTTCAATTAGGAACATAATTGAACTTTCTTTTGTAAGCAATGGCTTTGGGACTTTCCAGTTCCTCTACATGACAACACTGGCAGCTTTATATAATGCAGCTGCCTTATTTTGGTACAATAACCTTCAATTCTCATATTGTGAAACATTAGAAAAAACCCACCCCAAACAACAAAAAAAACCCAAAACACCCTAAAAGGAGTTGAAGAATAATCTACAGTTTTAGCCGTTAAAAACATGAAAGCACAAGCAGGGTATGCTAATTCAAAGTAAAAATCACAGAGAAGACCTGAATTCTACTTACATTAGGAGTTTGAAAAATACTTTGCTTCACTTTTTTTTTTCCTCTTTTCTGTTGATGATTGATGTAGCTTAGTAGCTGGAAACTCTAAGAGACTGTGTTGTGTCTTAAAAAAAAAAAAAAAGAAAAAACGCCAGACATGCAGCAGCTGTGTTAAAACTTCATCCCTCTGCTAATGATACTGTTCCAAAAGCAGTGTGAGAGGGCTGTAAAAGAGATTGCCAGGGTACATTCTGACAGCTGCCTAGGAAAAGGGCATTAGCCTGCAATCCTCAACTTCACAATTAATGTTTTACTGAATACCTGCTTTCGTAAATAAGATGCTGCCTCTGACAGAACGTGTAATAGTAAGGAAAAAACTGCCATGGCATAGCTTTTGTTAATTATGTATGTCTCACAGTGACAGCATGTTAGCAAAACAGGTTCTCAGAAGTACATTTCCCTAGGGGGCTTTTTTATTGTTATTTTTGTTAATGGATAGGTGTCTGTAAAGAAGCAGGGTGTGGTGTGTGTGGGTAGCAGTAATGAATAGTTTCTCACAGATTTCCCATACAGAAGTGAGAGGTTAACTGAAGCTCAGTGGATGTTCTGTGGGTACCCAGACCCCTGTGAGCAATGTGAGCAGGGGCAGCAGATGAGTGCACAGGCAGCACGCAAGCTGCTGGCCAAAGTGGTGTGCAGATTTGAGCACCAGCCTTGAGCTG